CTTTTTGGGGTTTTGGGTCAGGGCCGATGTTACGTCATAGAACCATGCATTTACCTCGCTGATCCGCCGGAGGGTTCAAGCACAAGGCTTCGGCACAGACATAGTGCCAGCGATGTTGTTGCAGTCAGTTCTTTGTCATTCGTGGTATGCTTTCCCCATCGACTCTAGACCCCGCAGTCTTGGAATCCCAGACCATTCACTTCTGCAGTTCTGAAAGTCTCTAGAACCTTATACCCGAAGCCTCGAAGGCTTTGCATATCCGCGCTAGTCCATCCCTATATATGCCCTGTGCCACAACCCCTCGTTAAAATCTCTCAGCCGACAGGTTTTGGATGCCTTTCTGAAAGCGCTGATGAACGGACCGGTGCTGAAGCGCGGAACCGCACTGCGCTTTGAGTTCGAGAAGGCTGGAGCGTCGGATTGGGTACAGGATCTTAGGCTACCGGGTTCCAGGGGAAAGTGAGTGTTTGGAACTCTGGGCTTGGCTTTATAGAGGGTTAATCGGGATTTTGGTTGCAGTATTTGGGAGTTGGGGGCTGGCAAGTGCACGTTTTCGGGAAAGGTTCAGCGATTTGATGGGGCCACTCAGGACATCAGCTCCTCGTGCCAGAGTCTGCCTTGTACGACTTGGGAGTTTCCGAAAATTAGGGGTATCTTAGTTTGGGGGTCCTTATAATAAGGGTCCTATACTATTTAGGGTAGCATATTAGGGTCCTCCACTTCGGACAATGCCACTTACTTAGAGAACCTTCGGGCTCAGTGCTTGGATATGCCAGGGAAGGCTTTAGGGGGGTTACTCGGTTTCATCTACTCACTGAGCAGTTCTGCGGAGCCGACTTTGTCAGGTACCACAGGTATGTGGGAGTTTCCGAAATTTAGGGGTACCTGATTTTGGAATCCTTGTAATAAGTATCCTACTATTTAGGGTACTATATTAGGGTCCCCTATTTTCGGAAACTCCCATGTGTTTCAAAGTCAAGGGATGCTAGGGCTCAGAGGATAGGGCTGGAGAGTTCGCACGTGGAAGATCTCAGTTGGTCCAAGCACCGAGTCACTGTACCAGACACATCCGTGAGTTATACGAAACCAAACGGTGCTAGCTACTGTTACGGGGAATACTTCCCCAAATCATAATTACAGTAATTCCTAATGCAGAAACCCTACATCCTACTATATATATAGGTACTTTGGACCCTTTGCAGAAGGATTTTGGATGGAGTGCTTTGGCTCCGGGCAGTCTCAACCGAGATCTTCCTTTGCTTTGCATCGTTGGAGGTTTGGCAGACTCAGAGACTCCACGTATGCAGTTTGCTAGATCCAGCCTTTGTTGCAATTCTGCACGTCAGCGTGGGCAGTGCTGGTGCCGTTTAGTGGGTATGCGGCGTGAACTTCTGCACGCAAAACGGTTTAAAGTAATCGCAAGAACCCTGAGGCAAGAGCTGCAGTGCCAGAGCTCGTTGATGGAAGGAATTGAGCAGACCCCCAACTAGAAGTTCACCCCGTCTGCGCCAGGCCAGCGTGAAAATTCGCATGGGTGAGAAGTATGCAGCCGGACTCAAACTTACAAGTGCTCGGGTGTCCTCAGTCTCATCCGCCGTTCAAAGTTTCAGAGTTTAACTTGTCAGGCTTTCGGGCTCAGGGTTCAGGCTTTAAGGGTTTAGGACGAGGCGCTGCAGACCGGATGCAAAAAGGGTCTAGGACGTTCCAGTCTAGCATGCAGGTCAGCGGCATGTAAGCTATGAGTCGAGCAGGAAGTTTCGCGCAAACACACCCCAGAGTCTTGCGAAGCTCTCCGGCTGTAGGCTGAGGATCAGATTTCGAGATATTCTGGCCTTGTGGACCGCATCCAGTGAGAACCCCGAGGCGGAGAGACAGAGAGAGCCGAAGTTTGAAAGCCCTCGGCCCTGCAACCTAAAGCAACTCAAACAGGAAAGGTTTGCAATGTTTTGTTTTAACTACTATAAGTATTCACATTTCTTGGCTGAGGCGGCGGAGGTGAAGAGCAAAGCCTTGACGAGTGCCTTTCTCGAGATTTACCTGGACAAGCACGCCGTGGCTCCCGATTTCAGGGAGGCCGTGTTCCAAGGCGCGTGCTTGCATGCCTCCGTGCTGCCAACACCAGTGCTGCACCTCCTTTTAAAATTTTATCAAATCGCTCAGCATTGCTCCTTGGGTAGCTGCACTTGGCACTCTCGTGACGACTGGTGGAGTGTTGCACTATCGTTTCCTGTGCTATTCCGGGCTGCGGGTTGTGCGAGCCGTCCTAATTAGCAACTCCGGAGATTGTTACTTGGCGGACGTTTTTGTCGGAACGGGGCTTTTCTCCTGCCGGGCGGCTCGGACCTGCAGCCATGTCGGGAAAGCAATTGGCCACGACTGTCACCGCCGCCGCCTCCCCCACCCCGACCACCGCCGTGTACATGTTCGCCCCCGACCGACGTGTTCACCTGTTTCTCTAGAGGCTTTCATGAAGTGATCTTCTTGAGACCACCACCACCGCCACCCGCACAGCGACGGCGGTAAGGGCGACGACAACGACGACCGATTGCTCGTTCTGCTCTTGGAAGCGTCAGTGTTTATGAATCATGTCTCAGGCCGAGCTGCCGCATGGAGTAGCTGGGGGTCGATAAACTTGTGGACCGAACCGACATGTCTCCCACCGCCTCTCAGTCTGGGAAGTTGCGCGCTCCTGGAGGCCTTGCGCAGAGCTGAGCTGAGCTGAGCTCTGGGTGATTCTGGGTGCCTGTGGACGAGATTCGAAGGGGCGACCCTGCACATCAGGACGCTGGCCTTCCAGAGCCCAGGCCTTCAAAGTGCAGAGGCAGATTTCGTACCTTTGCGTACGATGGTTTCAAAGTGTGGATGACAAACAAAGCATCCATTTACCTGGACCAGATCAAGTTTTTGTGGTGATGTCAAGCTGGCAGGCTGACTGTAGCTCGTATACTACAGAGTTATTAACACCACTCATCGTTTTGGCACGTCAAGAGGCATCCAGCCACAGAGCAGAGAAGGGTTGTGCAGCAAACTTGCTGTAAAGACAACTGCTGATTACTCCATTCCGAATTCGATTGCTGACTAGTCTTCTGAACTGCTGAGAGCTTGGCCATTAAACTTGTTGGACGGTGAGGAAAGCCCTACTGCAGGGGCCTAAATAATTAACAATACTATTTTGGTGTTCCTTATTATAATTATAGTATAGTATACCCCAAAACCCTATTCTTATTGTAAGGCCCCTATGTTACCAGTTACATCCGGGGTGCGATTGCCGTTCATGTTGGTTGTTTGCTTGGTTTGCTTCCCTTCGTTGGAGTTGGATCTGCGACTCTTCCCACGGGCACGAGGTCAAACAACAGTACGCAAACCTCAGCCAGACCGAAGTCTGTCCTAGACAGCAAGGAACGCGATTTGGAGTGGCTACTTCGAGCATACTCAGACATTCGCTTGAGGCGATCGGCGAAGCTCCCACCAGCAGGAGATTTTCAGTTCTTCATTTTTCCTTTGAGCAGGACTTCCCTTGTCATAACTGTCGAGACACTTCAGCATCATCATTCAGCAGCAGAGGCCCGCGGATGCACTGGCACAGCTTAGGCGTAGTCGTGTTCCTTCGTCCCCGCATGCGCCAGTTTTTCGACAACAACATCGTAGCTTTTATAATGCATGGGAGTCCACACACTTCGGTCACTAGGGTAGGGCTCATGCGGACGATGCACATGCATGATCATGCATGCACAAATGGCATCTGTCAAAGTGGCAGTCGCGGTCTTGATGTTGTTGTGAATATCGGGGAAGCCGGCACGGATTTTGAGTTCCGGTGGCTTGCGTGTGGCCTCTCCACAAAGGAGGGTGCAGTGAATGTGTGCAGCCCTTTTTTCGCAAAGCAAAAGGGGGCTTCTCGAACAAACACAGGGTGCGTATAAGCCGTATACAAAGCCTGAAATGCGAACGTCCTACAGGAAAGTCACGAGTTCAGAGAAGCTCCCTCAACTAAGGATCCCTCCACAAAGGAGGACTCTGCATTGTAGACACGTCTTTTGCTGCGGTGGCTTCGAGTCTGCTGGCATGCGATGCTGGACAGACAGTTGCCTTCCAGCATATGAAAGACGATCGAATTTCTTGTCAATTCTTTTCATTCGGTGGGCAGGAGGCAGGGGGCTTGGACACATCATCAAGCCCAAACATACTAGCAGTACCTGCAACTAGCAGCAAATCGCAAAATACAATCCCCGCAGCTGAGTGACCTTGGAGTTGTAGCAGTATTCCCCAGCTACAACTAGCATCCTCCCGAGCCCGTACAGCCTTCTGCCAGCCTGCCTCCGCTCCACCGACCAGAACGAGGCTTGTCGTCCTCCGGCTCCTGAATGGCCCCGCAGGACGTGGCTGTGCACAATGCAGCCTTAGCAGTGCACAGCTTGCATAGTGAGAGTCTCTAACAGGCTGCAGCAACTGGACTTGTCCAGAACACACCTCAGAACATCTCAACACCCAATCTCGTTCATCATACAAACTGCAGATAATAAGCTGTTTTCTGTGCTGTAGTCTACGGATAGACGAGCCAGAGGTCAATCCCTCCTTCGAGTGCTCAGAAGAAGCCTCGCGCCAGCATGCGATGCGTCACTAAGAGTGGAGCCTAGTGACCCGTCGCTCGCTGGCTTGTGTTTTGACTGTCGGTTTTTGAGACATATACGTTGTTAATATCCCACCAGGACTCGTCAAGACTGCCAAGAGGCGCAAGTTCTCGACTGTGCGCTTCGACATGTGCAGTGGTATTGCTTAAAATGACGGTCACCCAATGACGGGCATGGATTCATCAACGTGCAGCTGCAAACTCGAGCCAAACACCCCCCCAAACCCCAGAATCTCTCCAAACCCTAAGACCTTAAACTCCTGACCGAGTGTGAGCCCTGAAACTCTCAGAAGTAGGAGTGACAAACACTCTCAGCCCCGAGCTCTGAACCTGGAGCCCACCGGTCGAAGTTGACCGTCTATAGAGCTGCCAGGCCTGCACGGCCCGGAGGTGCCCCAAGGGGGAGGATGCGGCTTTTTTGATAGGGGATGCGTGTCAGTCTGTCTCTGTGTGTGTGTGTGTGTGTTTGATGGGTAAGGGGAGGGTTGGCAAGATGAGGGTTGAATTTCAGACGGGATCGTAGGGCTTAGGGCTTCAGTGTTTGTAGAGGGTTAGGTCGATGAGCCCTTGCCGGGGTGGGGGGTGTTTAGCATGGGTTGAGTTTGGGCAAGTTTTTGCTGCTTGGGCAACATGAAGCATGTCTCCGAAGAACTGCGTCTGAACGGAGTGCATCAGTTTATTCTGCTTGCCCATTTGGTGGTGTTTCGTTTTCGCCCAGTCTGGGTCCCGAACCCCACATTGCCTCAGAGTCTCTAGTTTTTGGATTCCAGGTTTGCCATTGCGGATACCGATGGCTTGTTTTAGCCGGCTCTTCTTGACTCCTTTTTTCTACAGAGGCGTCATGCGTTTGGAGTTCCCATGCCGGATTGTCCGAGTGTGAGCGCCGAAACCCTGTAACCCCAAAGCCCTAAACCCCTAAATCACGGAGTCAGGCAGAGGCTTTCTGGTGCGCAGCCAAAGCTGCTGCTGCAGCGACGCGGGCCAAGTCGGCAGACCTGCCGAGGCGGTGAAAGTTCCGTGTCATTCGGCTTGTCCGGCCTCTTTGGGTATAGGATCCCTAAACCCCAAACCCTACCTGAATGCAGGCTGCGGTGGCTCTGACAACGGAGGCTTTCAGAAATCACGTGATTCTTTTGGCTTCGGAGTTCCAGTTCTTGGAACCTTGTGTGTCGAGACTGCTGTGGTTCGGGCTATGTAGGCTCAGGAGCTCGACCACTACCCACCTCAGCTTCGAGCTAGAGCTCAGGGCTGTTGTAGACAAAGAGGTGCTGAGGCAGAAAAACACACCCTTGTTAGTTGCATCATCTTCTTCTCCTCCATCACCAGTTCCAGCACCATCGGTGCATCAGCCGAAGCCCAACCGTTGACATCACCACCTCAGAAACAAGTTTCAATTTCCTGTTCTCAGCACATGCTGCGACTGTGCAGATATAAAAAACGTCGATATAGGAGGTATATGTGGAAGTGCACTCGACATGCAGACAAAGAGAAGACTTGGAGCTGGCTTCATGGCAACTGTACATATCTTGCGGACCTGCTATGTACTTTGTTCATCCGTGTTTTCCAGTCACGGCTAGATGGCTAATCGGCTAACCCTATTGGCCCTATTACAGTACTGCGGCAGTCAGTGACCCAGTGTTTCGAATCATTCCGAACAAAGAGGCCATGTGTACTCGACGAAGATCGGCGGTAGAGTTTGATAGAGATGTATTGGTTGCACGTGTGTGTTGACGATGCCTGCAAAGGTCAGTGTGGGCTTAGCACGGCAAAAGATCACGGCTTCAGGTCAATGCTCTAAGTCTGCGCAAGCTGGAAGTGGCGTCTACTGTATTTGTCTGTCGATCGATCTTGTAGTGTGCAAAACCTTCATAAGCCTAAAACCCGTGAGCCGTCAGAATCACCGCAGCAGGCACTTGGAGTTGCTCAAAACCTCGGCAGAAACTTGGAGACCACGGCCGGCGAGGTCGTCAAGCAAGGCTCCTCTTGCTTAAGTCTGCAAGGCCTGTGTTTGAATTGGGGTGTGTAGGTTTTTGAATGTTGCGAGTTATCGTTCAACTTCCTAGAGCGTGCAAAGGTTTTAAGGTCTGGGTTCAGGCTTGAGGATTTTGACCTGTTTCGGGTGTTTTGCTCGACCCATAGTCTCTCTTCGCAGCAAGGATGTCATGGCCAAGTCTTCTGCGGTAACTGGAGTGACGTAGCGCTTGCATGTAATTTCTTGGAAGGTGTATCATGTTTAACTCCTGGTAGTGTAGTAACATGCGGGCCAGGAGTTAGAGCTGCTACGCTACGTGCCTCGATCTCAGACGTCGACGGCTGCGCAATTCTGTCGTCCTTACTGCGCCTTTGCGGGTGACAAGTGACCAGATGCCACAGAGCCAAACGACACTCAAGACTAAGCTGGGCATCTTTGCGGACCTACGGAAGTGGACAGCAAACGAAATTAGCATGGCATCGAGTCACGCGTTCTGCTAGCTGGGATAGTTTCCGCTCATCGGAGTAGCACCAGACAAAACCCCCCTGTGCTCTCTGCATCCATACCACAAGTATCTGTTCGTTATATGCAGACATGCATGTGCAATACCAGCAAACCATGTCTACGTGTGCATGGACGGATGAGCGGACGGATGGATGGATGTGTACGTGGGATGGATGTGTACGTTGGTGAACATGTGCAAGTATTCCTGCTTATTCTTGCACGAGCAGCTCGCGATGCAGCACAAAGGAAAATTGTCACCAGGAATCCAGAAGCTGAGGTTGTTGTCCGCAACACCGGGAGTCCGACCCTTTGCCTTCAGCCAGTCTTGTCTTTACCCGCGGGTTTGGGAAGTCCCTGCGCAGTGCTATTTAATATTGCTCCAATGGCTTGGAATCCTCTTGAGGTATTTGTGCCCTCCTAGGGCCCTCCTACCAAGAACAGGTAGTCGGCCCTTCAGTGGCATAATACTGAGACACACGTCTGACCCATGCACAAGTTACCAACTTATTACTGCATGTACGTGCAATTGATGCATTGAGGCACTGCTGTGTGCACCAACGTCCAACCTTGTTTTTGTGTGTCTTTCGTGTCCGAAGCTCGAAATCTGCAAGCTCTCGTGGATTCGATTCGCAGTGAAGCCTGGCTCAAGCCTACTCCAATTCGACCAACGTCCTGGCTAGGAGAGGCTCGGCAAGGGATCAGACTCATTCACCGTGAAATGCTCAGGTTGAGGTCAAAGGCGTTCTTCGTCTCTGTCTGTTCCGCCGAGCAGTATGCCCAAGCCTTGCGAGCAGCACTGAATGCAGTCTGGTTCCTCCAGTGTATCTCAAGTTCACCCGGATGCAATCCGTGCAGGGGCAAGCGGAATTCATGTATGGTCCGCACATGTTCACACCCAGATTCTCCAAGAAATATCTTCTGTATTGATATTCTTATACGCCTCAAACATATTGGCACAACCCGACGCTGGCAAACATCTTCGAGAACAGGTGATCTGCCGGACAAAGATGCTCTCCTTCAGGAGCAAAGGCTGGTTTTTGCAAGGGTGGAGCTGCAACGGTCAGCTTGGAGCTTCATTTGTGCTGATACTGCCGCTGCGGCTCTCTACTGCTACTACTGCTACTACTGCTACTGCTACTACTGCTACTCGTAGTAATCGTAGTAGTAGTAGTAGTAGTAGTAGCAGCAGTAGTAGTAGAAGGAGTAGTAGTAGTAGTAGCAGCAGCAGCAGGAGTAGTAGTAGTAGTAGTAGTAGTAGTAGTAGTAGTAGTAGTAGTAGTAGTAGTAGTAGTAGTAGTAGTAGTAGTAGTAGTAGAGGTAGAGGTAGAGGTAGAGGTAGAGGTAGAGGTAGAGGTAGTAGTAGTCGTCGTCTTAGTCTTAGTCTTAGCAAATCGAGATACCGTGACTATGAGTGTCCAATTGTGGTTCCGATCGTCTCTTCCGACGGTGTGGCTGATCTGACAGACCTTTGCCAGGGGAGGAGGGTCTTCGGCAGGCTGCGACTTGAGAGGTCCGGTTTTCGGAAGTCGGTTTTCGTGAATTGTCGACATGCTGGCATGCGGTATCCGTACCAGTACCTCCTGCTGCTACTACTACACTACTATTACTTCTTCAAGTACCACCACCACCACCACCACCCCCGCCACTACTACTACTACGACTGCTACTACTACTACTACTACTACTACTACTACTACTACTACTACTACTACTACTACTACTACGGCTACTACGACTACTACTATTACTACTACTGCTTATACCATTGCATACTCAAGGGCTGTCTTCAGGCTTCCTACTGACGTACAGACATATTCGACCATGGTGCTTGCCCATCCCGCTTGCCGGTTCGAAACGTCTTTGCGTGCCGATTCAGCCTGCGGAACGTACCGGGCCATGCAAGCAATGATGCTGCTGGCGACAAGACTGCAAGATCTGTTGTCTCTTGCATTCCGAACCAGGCTTGTGCAGAACAGGTGGTTTACCTACTGATGGCAGATTTGACTCGAGGAAGAGCATGCCTAAACTCGTGTCTCGAATCCTTCCCCCTGTAGGAAACCTCAGAAAGGGTGCGCTGGTGACTTCAGACCTTCAGCCAACACATTGACATAGAAACGACTTATATTCTTGCACACGAAGCTAACCTCAAAATAGTATTTTTCTTAAGGAAAAAGATACCCTGTGACCTTCTTTTTCCGCCGTTGACTTTGGAGCAGACGCGCAACAAAGGGCTTTGGCGTTTTGGGTTTAGGCAACTTTTTTTCGGCGTGTGATGCCGCAGGATCTGCAACGTAACAACCAACGTATGTTTTCCAATGCTGGGGCTCTTAAAAGGTCGCTATGCTTGTAGGAATAGTGGTTGTGTAAATATTGTGGTGATCGAAATCAGCCATCTTGGATAGATGACTGCGACTACGAACAGGTTCAAGCGGTTCAGGCTGCGAAAGCTTTGCAGGCTCATGCATGTCCATTTGCTGTTGCAATGTCTATTTGAGGTTCGAAAAGGTTGCCCCCGAAAGACTGGTTTTGAGATTGAGTTCATGCTACCTGGAATCTGTTCAGTGGGTGTCTCTCACCGGAAGACTTCAACGCGGGGCAGGTGCCCGAGCTTAATCCGGCCCCCATTATAGGATCCTTAAGGGGGGGTGGTTCAAGGGGGGAGGGTACTAGGGAGCTTTGGGGAACCTTAGGGAAGCTTAGGGAGTATTGGGGAATAATGGGGATTACTAGGTTACCTACCCCCCTTGGACCACCCCCCCTTAAGGACATCCTAACCCATTCGACTCTGGACCCTCCCAGGTAGCCCAGGGGCAGACTTGGAAGCCCTACCAGGTCCCGGCAGGGCCCCCAAGCATTCAGACAAGTCATGTCATGTCGGGCTCGAAGGTTTTTGGCCTTTGTGCTTTGACGGATTTCCGGCCTGGGTGTCTGCTGAACTTGTGTGGACCTCTTCATTTGTCAGGGTGCTGGGCTACCTCTTTCATCGCCTTCACAACCACCTTCACTGTCTTGTAAACCTCAGACATGTCGTCCTCTGTCTTGGCTGTGCCATCACCCTACTCATTCTGATTTGATTTCCATCTGCGGGCTTTACATTCTCGTTATCGGTGGGACAGTCGGATATTGCTGCCGTCGGCTTTATCATTCTCATCCCTGCCGCAGCGTGCGGGTGGACTTCGGCGGCTCCATGCCTGGACTCCTGTGCACCTTTGCATGCAACAGCAGCCAGCACTACCTTCGCACCCATCCGGGCAAGGAAGGAGGTATGGGACAGACCGCCGCCTCTGAAGGAGGGGGGGGGGGCAAGCAAGACCTATCAGTGCAATTAGCGACGTTTCTGCATGAGTCATGGATGCCACACACTTGTATAAGAGCAAGGAACAGAAACGTTACAACAGCTCGAAAAAATCCTCCGTGTCGTGAAGGCCCTTTTACGGCCACAGCGACCTCGAACGACCGGCAGCATCCTGCATCAGGCAGCATTAAGACAGTGGGTTTCAGGCAGGCTGAAGAGTTCGTGTTCAGGTTTTATCTACGGCCTTGAATATTTGGACCAGGGTGGGGGGACGGTAGGGGAAATTCAGACTGCAAGGATAGCAGCGACTGCAGCAGCCATCCGCCCCGGGATCTGCTTGTTGGTCAACTACTGCCTGAGCACGCCGATGCTCCCATCTCATGCAGCCCTGTTCATGCCGCTTAAACTTAACCTATCTCAGTTCGAAAGGCAGTTCGTTCTCCACGTTGGACGACCACTTTGAAGCACGGATTGTGGTTGCGGAGCCTTTTCACTCGAACTTGGGAGTCGAAGTCCCACCGGCCAGGGTCCAACTGCTGCCGCTGCCGCAGCGGTGCTTGCAGCCGCAGCCGCATCCAGCCGGAGGCGAGAAACAGCTTTGTTTCTGGACTACGAAATGTCCGAGAGGCCTCAGGCGGCAAAATTCCGAAACAGTTCTGAATCCGTGGCTTCAGGTCGCAAGGTCAGGGAATGCAACCGTTAGGGGTCAGGCCACGATGCAGTCGCGCGGCCATCGACGACGATGAGCTGGGCTATGGCCGAGAGGACCGAGCGACTCGTAAGAGCGCGTAGGTTTGGGATGAAGCCCAACATGGCTCTAAAATCTAGAGAGAGCCTGAGACCTCAAGAACATCGACGGTCACAACCTGAAGTCTGTCTGACCGTAAGCTTCGACCCCGAAAGTCTGCAAGCCCTACAGTTGATCCCTCCTCGCATGTAACAACTACCGGCACAATCCTGAGCTTCCTTTCAATATACCTTTATCCCAATCTCTGAACCCTGAAGCCCGCAAACTCTGCACAGGCCTGCCCGGATCCCCAACAGACAAGCCGAAATCTCAAGATGATCAAAGACCCGAGAATTGAACATTTTCAAAGCTCGACAGCCCCCACAAATTTCTGTCGACCCTCAACCTCTATACCCAGCTACCCAGAAAACTTTGTAGACATTCCAAATGCCCTCCGGGAATCAGGATATCGGCCCCGGGGGCGAGGATCCCGAGGCGGAGCCATTTTTCCCTTGGGCTTCAGGGTTTTGGGCTATAGTTTTGGGGACTCCTCACAGCAGATACCACCGTTGAACCCCATGGTGGTGCTGCACAGAGTTCGGATCTGTATGCCTGCATTTCCAAGCTTCCAGACTTCTCTAATCTACACTTCTTTCGTGCCTTAGGGTTTAGGTTTAGGGTTAAGGGCTTTTATAGCAGTTCATACTGAGTCCTATAGGGAAAAGATGGACAATGCCACCGAAGAGCTGCCCCGACAATCTCCGGGAGCTTTCGGCGTGCCCACAAGACTGTTCGGCCAGGGCCGCTACACCTGGGAGCGCTGTGGAGTCTGGCTGTGCATTAATGGTGTCGATTGTTTTTGACGTTATGGTGGTGATCAGTCTTGCAAAACGGTGGGACGGTACAGTTGTTTGCGGAGCTGACTTACCATGATGAGGGAACCTGCTTCATTAATGAATTATGTATTTGTATATACATATGTACATACACATACACACACACACACACCAGTTTATTACAATATTGCCACAGTAGAGGAATATCGGTGTACCGAGCGAGAGCGACAGAGAGACAGAGAGAGAGAGAGTGCTTGTTAGAAAGAGCACAAGACACATGGAGAGGGAGAGAAAGAGAAAGAGCGAGAGGGAGAGCGATAAAAGGAGAGAGAGGCAAAGACAGGCAGATAAGCAAACAAGACAGACAGAGAGACGAGAGAGACAGGGCTAACGAGGAGTCTGCCATAGAGCGAGAGGGAAAAACAGCAGCATGCAGAGACA